GTTTTGGTTCAGTTCTATGTTTAGTTCATTTGCTTTTGCAATGATTAAGTGTGCGTCATAGTTTTTAAGATTATGGAAGAAGATAGGGATTTTAAAATATCTAAACGAATAATCCAGATTACATTTTAGATGCGCTGCGCCTCTGTATTTGCCTGTGAAGTGGCAGTGGTCTCTAACTTTTTCATCATCAGGTTCAAATTTCTTACCACAAATGGAGCAATTAGATGCTAATCTAAACTCTAATTTTTGTTCGTTTGTTAAGTCATCCATTGGTTTAATCATATTCATTTTTTCAAATATATATATCTTTCTTAATTTCAGTCAGTTTTTCTACAAACTGTTTCATACAATCCTCACCTCTGTATAAGTATGGTTGGCATGTATTATCAATCCTGCTTACTACATTCAACATATAGCCGCACGGTTTATGTTCCTGATATGTGCCTTTGATACCATTGTTAGAGTTAGTGGTTAGACATTCAAAATCACCATAGATTACAAAAGGACAAGGCAATTTAGTATTATGCTTTTCAAATTCTATATAAGTGTCTTTATTAGGCATCTTTGTTTGTTGTCCTTCTGATGCCATACATCCTTTTTCAAGATGGTTCTTGTATGCCTTTTCTGATTGAAACGGATTTAAGCAATGGTGGCAGTAAAACTTTTTATTAGTGTTGCTACTGCTCTGACAGTTTAATAATCTACATTTATTTTTTACTAATACATAATGATAGTGATTATCTTCATCATAGATTTTTAACAAATCTATTTCATATTTAGCATTTCTATTTTTAGTTCCTCTATGTAATATGATTTTATTATCATTTAAGCAGTCATCACGTTCAAAAACATTTATTGAAACTAATTTGTTGTTTTCTTCAAATCTGTCTATGTCCCTATTACCAGATGGAAAATTTACACCATCCCAGTTCAAAATATCATCTTTCAATTTGTTATAGTGAAACATTTCCTCTGGGTGATGTTTGCTTATTTTCTCATAGACTACGGATTGAATGCAATATTTGAAGCATTTTTGGTCTTTGTTCTTGATGTTGATACATGTCTTCTTTAACTTAATCCATTCTGGTAATTCTATGTATCTCCCTGCTCTTGTTGGGTCATATTTGTCATAATGAATGGTTATTGACAAAAAAATTTTGAAGCGTAAATTAGATGCTGATGCTTCTAAATTTTGTATTTGTAATAAGATTTGTTTAACACTATCTTCTAATGCCTGTGTCAGTTCATCTTCGTTACTAATATTGAAGCGTGTTGATGGTAAAGCATATACAAGTTCCTGACTGCCAATTTCATTACCTCCATCATCATATTCAGGTTTTTCGAATAATCCTTCCGTTCTTATGTTAAGTTTCATGCTTCTATTCTTCCTTAAAAACTCTAATAGTCGTGGTTTTTGGTGAGCAATCATTTCTAAACCTCTTTCTCCTTCAAAGTGTTTGTTTTCTAAAACGATTGAATTAGCATATCTTCTAAATGCTGACTGAATATCTCTGACCTTAAATTTGTTTTGTATTGCGTGTTTGGTTAGTAAGTTTCTGACTTTTCCTTCACTAAACGCATCCTTTGCCTTGTTTAAAGCATAACTTCTGTATTCATTAGTTTTCTTCACTGATAATAATTTCTTTGTTAAAACATTAGATATGGGTTTGTCTTTGTTGTATCTAAATTTCTTGTTGTCTATTACTATTGTTTTCAATTCTTTTCTTCCTCTTTTCGGTATTTCTGCTTTATTAGTATTCAAAAGATAGTCTATAACTTTTTTCATCATATAATAGTATATATTTTATTTAGTCAGTTTATCTTTAAGTAGTCTTTAATGAATGATATATTTTAATCTTTGAATATATACTTAAAATTTTAAAAAATAGTTATTTAATTAAGTATATTAGTAGGATGGATTGTGTGAAGGATTTGCCCGTTGATGTGTCGAGTAAAATTGCTTCTTATAAAATTGGAGACCCTAAATACTTGAAAATCAAATATAACCATATTGAGGCATTAAAGAGAATACGAAACAAATATAAGATTTCAAGACACGGTCCTAAAATAACAAGACATTTGAAATCAAGAAAAAGATATACATAATTGAATACTGTATTATGAACTGTATTATGAGAGAGGGAGCGCCATTTAGTTTAAAAAGTACAAAAGACACAATAACAGAAGAACAAGAAGAATTATTATCTTTAATTTATGAAGAAGTAGAAGATGATTTAAACTATAGTTAAACTTGATGATGAAGTTCAATTAACGGCAAAACTCCCAGAAAAAGAATACGAAGAAAATGAACTTAGTTATAGAGATATTTATTTTATGAATGACTTTGATGAATATTTAGATGAAGATAATATAGATACAATGTTAGAGAAAGCAGTTGAAGAAATACAAACCGACATAGAAGAAGACCAAGATAAAGAGAGTATAATAGGAATACAGGCATTTCATTTTAAATTAGTAATTATTAAAGACATTTACTCATCATAATTCTAATAATATTGTTTACTAGATTTATGGATTTTTAAGATGGATTATTAAAGACTAAGGAATTATCTTTATTGTTGTTCTTTGTTTTGGTTTGTATTTTGTTCTTTGCTTTGTCAGTTTTTTTGTTTGTTGGGTTGTTGTTTGGTTTTGGGTATTGGGTGTTGTAATTTTCTATGAATAAAATGATAAATCTGAACTACATATTTAAGAAAATTACTGTTTTAATATTTATGGAAGATAAAACCTGCAAAACTTGTGAAAGAACTATGGACATTATATAATAAATTTAATGAAGGATTAAAAACTTGCAAAATGTGCTTATCAGATCAAAGAACCAGTTATAACAAACATAAACATAGACGAAATGAGGTTCAAAGAAAAAGATATGAAGAAGATGAGGAATATAGAAAAACGAAGCAGGACTACAATAAAACATTTCAATCTAAAATTGTTAGTTGTTCTGTTTGTAATTGTTCAATGACCCAAGCAAATTCCCATAAACATAAGAAAACAGAAAAGCATCAAAGAAATTTAGAACAGGTCAGTAGTTAGGATTTTGTAAAAATGAATGAGGTAATGATGTATTGTCTGTTATGAGTTTCTAAAAATGAAAGAGGTAATATATGGTTAGTAGTGATGATTTTGAAAAATGAACGAGGTAGTCTATGGTTAGTAGTGATGATTTTGAAAAAATGAAAGAGATAATTATGTTTTGATATTGTTGAGAGAAAATGAAGCAATCAACAATATTTAAACTGACTTTTTTGACTGTTATGCTTTTTTAATGAATAATTTTTGAGTTGTTATACTGCTATGATATGAAATGTAAAATATTCTCAGGATCAACTTTTTATACATTTTTTTTTTGGGGGGGGGGTCGAATCAATTGATTTATCAATCATTCATCACATGGGAGGGGGGGGGGGAGGGGGGGGTGGGGGTGTTAGACATTGATCTACCAATCTTTAGTCCCGAGCAAGCTCTCAAGCCAGTCCCTTTGCTTCGCAAAGCAAACTCAAGGTAGTCCTTACCAGGCTACCTTTCGTGATGTTTAGTTTTTGCCTCAAAGGATGGGAGCAAATGGGGTACCCACGTCAGTCGGTGTTCATTCCACTCCGTTCAAGCTTCGAGCTGGGCACATGCTGGTACTGCGTCATGGTGTCAGTAGAAAAAATCAGTGCAACACCAACAAGGAGCACGAGGCAGCAGCAGCAAGTATCTGCTGTCCTGCCGTCTCAGCAGCTTGCTAAGTGGCTGCAAGTGCGCAGCACTTCCTGCTAGGAGCTTCTCTCTGCATAGCTCGCTGAACAAGTGTCGAGCCATACATCTGTGCAATTCTAGGTTTCAAGCTCTGAGCCTGCCCAACTCTCCCTGAGACTTCGCAATCCCTTTAACATCCTTGAATTAACATAGTTTTAACACAGGGTTAGGGAGCGCCACAACCAATGCATCTTCAAGAGTACAACTATATACAGCAAAACATCAATCATGTCAATCAAGGGTGTGAAAATCGATCTTTAGAATGCTCATGAGCACATGAATCTGCTGTACCGGGATCAGGCCAAGTAGATGTTGCCTGGGCGTTTGCTTGCTGCACATTGCAGCCTACACATGAAACATCATGAAACACTGGCGTCGAAAAACCCTTGGGCATCCTTGGGCCACCGAACGGTTCTCCATCAGCTTCTGGAAGGCTAATTTTGCTGCCTTCATACGTTTTCACTCGCTTCTTCGTGCGACTCGCGCCGGCTTGGACACGCCTCCTGGTCATGCGGGTTCTTGTCAGGATGCAGCTGTCGCTGCAAGTCCTTGAAGACCTGTGCCAAGTCGCCGAAACCATGCAGTATGAGGGCAATTGGATGTGATGGGTATTCTTCTTTGGCTCCCATGGCCAACAACAACAACAACAACAGCTGGCACCCCTCAAAAGTGGCCTTCTTGCGCTCTTCCAGTGGGGCATCGCGAGTGCTATCCTCAGAATGACCACAATTGCCGAAAGCAAAGGCTCTTGCTGACTGATTGTGAGGAGATTTTATTCCATCATGTCTGTGCCACTCAGACTCACCCAAGTCGCTATTTTCACATTATGCAGGCGTCCACAGCACCGGGTTGAAGGTTTCGTCGTGTTCTTGGACACTGAAGGACTACTGGCCATGTTAGGAGCGCTCTCAGATGCTCTCACAGCGCTTCAAGTCTTCACCTCCATCTCCTGCAAGTTTCAAGCTAAAGAATGAAGAACATGTCAAGAGACTTGAACTCTGGGCGCCTGTGGCTCTACCACTATAGCATCCTGGCGGTTGAGCACCTGATCAGTTGGCAAAGCTGCAAAAAATACACATTGAGATGGAAAATAATGAAAACATATTAGAGGCCCTGCCTTCATACAATGCCCAAGCCTGCAAAACTTGAAAACATGGTAAGCGAAGCTCTTCAAGCTCTTTTGCACAAATCGTGCGAACTGGTCAAGCAGCATTGTCTTCGACCTGTTTTTGATACGTCGCTGGACTCGGACATTTCGCTCGGCTTGGGTAGGTCAAGTCGGCTGACTTCGCTGACATTCTCCGGGAGGAGGAGTCTTGTGCACTATGCTCGGCCAACTTGCAGTGTGGGGGCAAATGTTTCTTGGACTTCTCGTGTTCGTCCTTTAAGACCATGTCATCCATGACTGTCCCGCCTTTCTTGGTCCGTCCTCACGCCATGCAACATTCAATGGTGACGTCATCGCACCAGCAAGACTCAGCATCTAGGCGCCGAATGGTGATTTGCGATGCTCCAGTGATTTTCACCGCAAAGAAATCATTGCTCGGGCTTCTCACCTGCTCCTGGCAGTGAACGGGGCGCCCGTCCACAGTCACATTCTTAATGTGGTGTGGTGGAGGCATAGGCGCATTGCAAATGCAATTGTTCCCAAGCTCCACACAACTCGGCACACAGGCCTCCTTCCCTTTCCGCACTTTCAGCGGTGGTGGCGGTGGGAAAGGAGGCTGTGGTTCTCCAGTCCACCCTCCGCGATGATACTTCAGCTTGCCGCACAACCTGTCATTCTCAGGCTTGTGGGTAGGCTTATGGTGCACTCGGATGACGCTGCAGTTGAATAAATGATTGCCACAATCACCATCATTTTGGTAGTTCCAAATGCATCGATCAACCATGACAGACTGCAAAGGCAAACGTGCCTTTCCTTTGATGTCTTGCAAGCCTGCCTCCACAAGAGCCCTCTTTACTGCTTTGCAGTCCTTGTAGAAGAGCGTGTGGAAGAAACCTTGCCCACATTCAGCACCAACAAACTTGCTTCCGGAAGGCAGGAACCCACAGTCACCCCAGCCTGTCTCAATCGAAAAATTTACGTTTGCACCGAAAATTTCAGCTGCACGGAGCAACTTCTTGCTGGGCCTCAAGGCAAAGAATCCCACATTGAAGGGTTCTCCCACCCCGCCGCTTGCACTGATGAAGTACCCTCGCGCAGCACAGTGCAGCACGGGTGTCATATCACCTTGAAACTCCACATCCTGGTCCTCCGAGTGCGAGCATGAAATGGAGCAAGGTGTGAAGAAAATATCATATAATATAGAGTGATGGATAAATGCTAAAGGGAAGAGAACTCAGCCAATTAGAGCAAACCATACCGGCAACTAGTAGGCAGGGACCTTGGGAAGATCAAGTAGACCCTCAAAATTGGGGTCTAGAATCATTTTCCAGCAGCAAATCTAGCACCTTTCTTGATCATGACGTTAGACCTCACCCCCGAGATCTCTTGAAAGGGTCTGACGGGCTTCTAGTTAGACCATTGAAAAAGTACAAAGACAGTCCAGCCAGACCCTGTCTTGCAGGTAGAGCTGTGGAATGTTTATGTTGCAGTGCCAGCTCCAAACCATATGTTTGATCTCTATCTGCGCTTTTCCGCTGTTTCACCTTACATTCCTTGTCCTATGTGACACGCATTTGTACGGTTTTAATACTTTTTTGGTGGGACGCTAGTCCGTTGCCGTTCTCGCTGACCTAGAGTCGCCAAGGCCATTGCACCAAGTTAGACCTTCGACTCCCAAGTACTCCAGGTGCACCCATCCTAGACCCTAAGTAGTTGAGGGTATAGCAGCTATAGTGATGACTCCAAAGAAACACCTTCAAAACTGCCGGGAGGACATGTTAAGATGCTCCTCGCGTGAAACAAGTTGCAGTGCAGTTTTGAAACTCCTTAGGCAAGACCGGGGACAATTTGTAGATCAAGAACAATCAAAACGTTCTCTCATGACTCTGTCCAAAGCGGCATAGAAAACGACCGCATCATACTCATCCAGGCCCAAGGCATGTAATCTCATCAGGTCTTGTGGACCACACCAACCATCGGCTTTTCCAGGCCACCAGTAGCTCGGATACCACGACTTCGGTGGAATGGTCCATGGCACCTCAATCAGTCGAATCTGGTACCGCTCCACTAGGCGACGTTGACGGCACCCCAATTGCTGGATATCCGTCTGAGGCATCAGAACGACGATGTCAGCAACACCGCCGTGCTCTTCTAATTTCAAGCTCTGAGCTCGCATGCTATCCAGAAATGTGAGCCATGGCCAGCCATGATTCCCCACGTGGGCATAAACAAAGGCATATCGTCCTCCTGAAACGCCAGCGGCACAAGCTTCTACATCAAAGCATGGGCCATTTTTGGCCCCGTCATTGCAACAATGATTGCAACCAACTCCACGCCGCAAGAGAGAGTCTACGGATTTCACCGTCACTTTGGGCTCCCTCAAAGGGCGTCGACGCGGAGAAGGCTGTGAACCCGGTGTCTCCGGTACTGCTGCCCCGGCAGATTGAAAGCTCTTGTCGTTCTGGTCCCTGTCATCTACCGGATCGGCCAAAGCCACAGGTGACACGTCGTCCTGGACTGGATTCTCGATTGTAAGAGGATCGTCCTCCTTTAGCTGATCCAACTCGTCCTTCATGTGCTGGACGCCAGGTCTTGTAGGAAAGGCTTGTGGCCTTACGGGCCTTGCAGCACTGGCGTCTTGGGCCTTCTGGGCTTCCTGCTCAAAGAGTTCTATCATGTCGAGACTATGGCCTCGCTCCGCATTTTTGACCCCGGACACCTCGCTTTGAAACCAAAGCCCCAAGCAAAAGCCAGCGAATATCAGCCCCACAAGTAGCAGCCTGTTGAATCCAGGCATACATTTTTGAGCTTTCTTTTTGGCCCCCATGGTGATAAAACCAGTCGCCCCACATCTCACATCAACTTGAGGAAAAATTGGCTGAAGGAAAACACGCTATACACGCAGTGTCCGGTTACTGAAATGTGTCCATTCAGCATCTCAGGCGAGAGGAATCTATATATATAAATATAATACATAAATTCTGTAGCCAGCGTTGCTGGAGGATCAAACAACCGCCTAGAATGATTTGCAGTACCTAATGATTGGTGTGCTATTTGGGCCGGCTCTAATCTGGTCAACGTGAAGGCCTCACCGTGCTGTTGTTCCGCGAGGTTGTGGCCGAAGAACTCTAAGAACTCAGCATCTGACAGAACAAATCAGACAAGTTCAACAATGCAAAGCCAAGGAAGGTGAAGACTCTACAGTAACAATCTGACATGAGGCCTCACCTTCTCCATCTGCCCAGACAGGTCCCATGCGGCAATATTCAATAGCAACAATGCGCAGAGTAGCTTGCTGGCACACCCCAATCACTTGCTAACCCCGCTTCGAAACCACCACTTGGACACGTGGGATTGTGTTCAAATGAGTTTTGGTGATTGCTACTCAGTTGGACTGATGAACACCTCCATGTCAAGAATGTGTATGATCTTGTAACCTTGATGCAACATCTTCTCAAAATCTTCTGCTTCTGGGCCACAAATGCAAACCAACTCGTCCATTGCATCTGCTGCAGAAAGAGAAGTTCCAACAAAGATTTGTCCAACGAGCGCGGAGCACAACATCGGCATGCAGCTCAGGCGATGACTATTTGCTTCATCACGCGGTCCATCAAAGAACTCGCCTTTTTCTCCGCGGCCTGCGACCAACAGACCGCGGCTGATGCAAGGCTTCTCGGATCTCTCCAACCGCGGCTTTTCCCAAAACGCCTCTTGCTGCTTTTCCTTGGCCAGTCTTTCTGCGGTCTCTTTCCTGGGACTCTTTTGACCGCTTGGACTGAAGGGGTGCCATGAATTTGGACACGCCAAAACAAACGGTTTGCACCAAGCTGCGCTTTTCGTGCCTTTTCCTCTCTACTCTCCTCTGCTGACCTTAATTAATTGGATCTAATTGGCATGCAAACACAACAAGGAGGCGGCTGGTCGCCATCCTTCATCTCTTGGACTAGGTCACCTTACCTAGGTCTTTACCAAAGTTCCCTTACCTAGGTAGCCTGGTTTCCTGTCTACCGGGACAAAACTGAGGCTATCACATCTTCGCTCCCGGCCAGGGCGTCCATTGGTGCCCAGTGTCCTGGGTAGGCCATTGCAAGACGCACAGTTTGGGGTCCCAAACCATGGCATTTTCAAATGATCGACACAATGAAATTTTCCTTTAGTTTTTTATTCATGGTTCATGGTAGGTAGGTTTCAGACTGCTGATTGCCCTCGCCGATGCTGACCATGAGTGGTCTCCTGTTGACTCACACTCCCAGCGGCCTGCAGTCTTCGTTTTGTACGACGCCGTCTGAAACCGGTTTGATGCAGCTGGCTTGCATCAGGTCCTTTGGTGGCTCTGATCTAGAGCGACCCCACCTTGACAATGCCATTGTGCATCGTCTCTTGCGCTGATTCGAGCGCATCGTCTCGGTAGTATTGCTGGTCAAGTGCATGGCACTCATGCCCGAGCCTGCCAAAGAATCCGCCAGTGCTCTGGCTGCTCGAAGCCTCCTTGCACCGGTGAACGCACGGTAAAACATTTAAAAAAAAAACATAGGACGCACTTGAATGACTTAACGATATCATTGGTCTTGCAACACTTCTCACATGCAAGGACCCGCCCTGCCGTCCTTCTTTTCTTTCCGTCGTTGTGCCTCTCGACGTTGCGCTTCTTTGCGCTGCTGCGTTTCCTTGCGCTGCTGTGCTTCCCTTTCCTGTTGCTTCTCTTGCTGCTTACCTGGTCACATTACGCATAGCACGGCCATAAGAACTATGGTATGGCTCAGTTGCTGCGCCCTGCACCGGACTCCAAAGCCAGCTGCGTTTCATCCAAGCTGCGTTGATCTTCCCGCTTCTGGCGTTCAGCTCGTTCGGCCTCTGCTTCCTGCTGCGCACGCCGGCGCAACTCCTCCTCCTAGTAGCTGAGGAAAAGCTAGCAGGCTCAGGCTCAACACGGCTCAACCCAATGCAAAACCAAATTTGGTGAAAAGAACGATGCGCTCAACAAAAGCTGACAAAAGCTCACAAAGCAAAGCATTCCAATCTTCTTACTTCTCATCAGGGCCTTCTTTTTCCAAACTTCTTCCTCCTGCCGTTTCCGCTGTCGCTCAGCCTCGTCCTGCTGCTTTTGCACAAACTCCTGCCGGCTTTATGATCGATCTTGACTACCTTGTGTGGAACGACTGCTACATCTGCTTGGGCTGAGTTGGCCTGAGCTTCGAGTGTTGCCATTGCTGTGTCAGTGAAGGAAGGTCCAGCACTAGCTTCTGATGATTGATCCCCGTCAACCATACACGGCATCTCTTGACATAATCGGCCTTCTGCTGTTGCTTTCTTGTTTCCTCCTCTTGCCTCTTCCTGTCTTTCTCCACCTTCTCCTTTCCAGGCAAGGATGCTACTGGCCGAGTGCTAGTGGCCTGGGTAGTCAATTTCAACACCATCCTGCTCACGCTTCTTCTTGATCCAGTCTTGCTGCCACGCTTCCTGCCGGGTCGTTCAGTTCCTTTGCTGAACAAAAAATGCTCTGCTCAGCCCACCTGGTCTGCTTTGGTCTGGTCACGCTGGGACTTCTGCCTAAGAAAGGCCGCATGGACAGGCGAGGGCCATTCTGGCTTTTCGAGTCAAGGCCCACAAACGAGAGAGGGAGAGAGTAACTTGAAGGGAACCAGCATTTCAATTCAAACCGCAAACCCCACCAACACTTCATGGCGTTACCCATGCCAACTCCAGACTCGAGTGTCTGCTTGACTCTTGACCTCAGGCCTACTTTATATACCCCTTGCATCCACGTCTACCACTCATTCCAATTCGATTGGGATCAAGGCTACATGATTCTACATGCAAAGGCTTGGCACTACAAATGTTTTGCAAGTTGCTGGCTGTTTCAATGAGTGACTGATCTTTTGAACAAAAACGTTCCTGTCACACAGCCATTCTGAATTAGATGTTGGTCTCTGAATTAGATGTTGGTCTCAGTCAAGGTTGAAATAGGGGGTGAACCATTGTTCGCTGTGGAGAGCTGCTACCGGCCGACTCTCAAAATGCATCCAAAGCTATGGCAATCATAAATCTAGCCGAGTGAAGCGCTTCAAGCAACAAAATCCTTGATAGCAGGCCCTTTACATATAATACAAAAGGGAGGAGGGTTCGCACACCTGGGCACCGGAGGGAAACTGACTACAACGAAGCCGGGCAAGATCGGCCCACACTGAAGATACGTTGCGATATCTGCAAGCACACCCACAAATAGTAGGGCGTCTTGCCGGGCTACTTGCGCTTGGTTCACAAATTTGGTTGGCCTCAGGATGTTTAGCAAACATGGTGCCTAAAAAGTGCCCAGCATATTGGAGAGGTATACTGCATATATACTGTGGCGCGTAGCTTGCACCATCTTGCACCTTATTCAAGCACATATCATTGGCTCAACACCCAAAGCGAAGCTAATGATTCGCTCCAAAATCGGTGTTGGTGCATAAATGGCATTTGGGTCAGTCCCCTTTTGCCAGCTCCAAATGGGTCAACATCGAGATCTGCCCCCCGCTCCAACCTGCAGCAAACCCCAAATGGCATCATATGATGGACACTAGGGACCTGCATGCATGGGCATGCATGGGCATACATGGGCCATATTCATACACTACAACTTCAGATGTCCGACTAAAACCAACCAAACATTGCATGGCCCAAAGCAGCAAATTGGAAGCGTGCCAACAACGGAGAGGTTCATTGCAATGAGCAACCTCTTCCACCAAAAAGGGCTCACACCGCTGGCTGCCACGTGCCCATCGGATCACTGGGACACTCTGGGATTCTTGCTGTTCCTCCTTCTCTCGCTGGCGTCGTTGCCTTTCTGACTCTTGCTTGTGATACCAGGTGTTTGGCCTAAACAAAGCGAAGCCGACGCTTTGACCCGTCGACTCTTCGTCCGTAGATGTCGTCGACTCAGGCGTGGGCTGTGTCGGCACGTGCCAAGTCTCCTGCGCTCCCCATGGACCAGACGAGGCCTGTGCCGCTGAGTGCCTCCGCGGTCGGCACGTGCCGCAACGAGCACATGACGAGTCGATGGATTTCGCCAAGCCCATGACGGCCGTCCATTGCGCCAGTCACCTCTGCCTCAGCTCAGAACCAATGAAGACAAGCAAGCCTTTCGAAGGAGGTCTTTCCAAGGCAAACAGCTGTCTGGGGAGAATGCTGGGGCGACATTCCTCGCAAGACAGCGTATTCTCAATCTCAAGAAGCTGCGGAATCCATTCTCCAGGATTCTCTCATCAGATCTAGGAAAGACAAATGCCATGGCCATGCCAATCATCTCGTCCTCGGGGTCAACTGGCTCTGGATGAACTTTGGGCTCCTTGGAGCCGAGCCTTGGAGATCGAGGACATCGACGAGCCAAGCACTGGGAGTTTCTCAAGGACTGACAAGTGGCCCCCAAGATCCGGAGGGTGAAGACCCTCACAGGCCAGAATTCGTGACAAAGACTGAAAAAATATGAAAAAATGGTCGTTTTGTGCTCGTTTTTGTGCCAAGATTTGCGGCACTCGTGCCTCCAGTGTCAGTCGTCTCTTCTGAGAACTGCGAGTTCCAGGTCCTGCTCTCAGCCGAAGCAAAAGATTGCCTTTGCCATGGCAGTTAAATTTAACAGTTATGATATCTGGCTGCATGTTCACAATCCTGGGCGAGAATTTTGTCGCATCTCTCTTGCCAGGAGAGCCTCTTTCCTGGGAAGGGCTTGCACTGAGAGAAACAGCCAACTGCATCATTCCATGTTTGGACTGATTTCTTGCATCTTATGTAGTGCTCGGTGTGTGTGTGTGTGTGCCCACCTCATCTTCCAATGACCTTGCAGGCTGACAAGTGGACAAGGCCAATCCGGCTCAAATTCTGGCCACCCCTTTTCCTTTGTGTTGACAACATCTGACACCACGTGCTCAACCAGTCACAGCTAAAGGTCATGAATGCTTCCCAAAAAAGAAGTTGGGAGGTTGTTC